TTCTCGGTCCAGAGAGGGCAGTCCTCCAGACTCCTTACTCCTGGGAAACAGCTCCTCTCCTTCGAAGGCAGGGCCGGCAGACTTTTTAGTCATGGAGGGAGGGGCTTGTGCTCCTGCTTCCCAGTCATACTCCAAGCCACCTTTCCCCTGTATTGAAAAAAGGCAAACAACAACCCTAAACCCCCAGTGGGGTTTTCTGAGCTTTTAAAAACTCAATGGGGGGTTTAACCTTGAAAACAACTGCACAGCGGGTCAAGTAAGACTCCAGACCTCTCAACCCCTGTCGACTGATTTCCTATACCCCAGTCCCTTTTAGGCATGACCAACTACCCTCCCCCGTCCATGAACCCTCCCCCGTCCCCCTCCTGTAGACAGAGAAAGCAGCACCCAACAAGCTGGGTGGGCAGGACTGCCCCACTCTGGACCACCGAGAAGGAAGCTTCATGGTAAGTGGAGACAAATCTTCCATTCTCCAGTGGTCCAGGAGTGGGGTAGTCCTCCAGACTCCTTACTCCTAAGACATAAGACAGCAGTATACTCCAGGGTGGGTCCAACCACTTCCCCACCTACAGGGTGTGCTGCAAGACCCGTCGGCCGAGGCTATTCTGTCTATTCTATAGTGCCTCGTGAACGAGTGCATGGATTTCCGTGTAGCAGCCTTGTACACCACTTCCAATGAAGGAAAAACCCTATAGGCTGCTGATGTTGCCACCCCCCATAGAGAGTAAGCCGTAATCCCCCTGGGAGGTTCTAGCCCCTTGGCTTTAAACGCCAATGCTATGCATTCCCATATCCATCTACTAAGGGAAGAAGCGGAGACTCCACTCTCCATAGAAGACTTTCTGAAGGAGACAAAGACAGAATCATGCACCCTAGTCTATTTTGTTCGATCCAGCAAAAAACTACTCCATAGAAGACTTTCTGAAGGAGACAAAGACGGAATCATGCACCCTAGTCTATTTCGTTCGATCCAGATAAAAACTAAGAACCCTTCGCACATCCAGACAATGCAATGTCTTATCCTTCTCATTCTGAGGGTTCGGACAGAAGGACAGAAGAACAATCTCCTCCGACCTATGAAAGGTCAAATTAACCTTCAGGATAAACGCTGGATCAGGTCACAGAACTACCCTATCACGGTGGAAGGTGCTGTTCCTCATCAATAGACAGGGCCCTCAAGTCCGAGACCCTCCTAGCAGATGCAATGCCCACCAGGAATACAGTTTTGAATGTTAATTCTTTGAGAGGACATGTTGCCATAGGTTTGAAGGGGGCCTTACATAAAGCCCGGAGAACCGTGTTGAGACTCCAGGTTGGGAATCGATGAACCTGTGGAGGATTCAACAGAGATGTGCCTCTCAAAAATCTCTTAACATGCGGATGTCTGGCTAAGGAATGCCCTTTCCTAGTTCCCTTTATGGCAGATATGGCCACCACTTGTCTGCGCAGGGTACTAGTGCTAAGCCCCTTGTCTAGACCCTCTTGTAAAAAGGCCAGGATCTCCCCCATGAGAGCCCCCATGGGGTTAAGACCCCTTTTTCTGCACCAAGCCTGGAAAGTTTGCCATGTATTGTTATAGACCCTATTCATAGAACCCTTCCTAGCAGCCAACATGGTTTTAACCACACTGTCTGTGTATCCCACACCCATCAGCTGCTGCCATTCAACCTCCAAACTGTGAGTTTTAATAATTCCGGTTGAGGGTTGAGGGTTCCTTGGACTTGAAACCATACCTACCTGGGCCAGAATGGGGCAACTAGTATTACTTCCGCCCTCAGATCGATTATCCTTTGTACCACCTTCTGCATAAGTTGGATCGGTGGAAAGGCATATAGTAGCGCTCTTGGCCATACTAGATGCAGAGCTTCTGTTCCTATGGTGAAAAGTTTTTTTAACCTGAACACATTTTTTTTTGTTTGACAGCTCATTTCTGTGGCAAATAAGTACACTTCCAGTGTCCCGAATCGCTGACATATTTGACCAAACACTGCCCATCTAAGCATACTTACTCTGCTCTTCTTGCTGAGACTCAAAATAAGAAAAACAATACAATAAAGAGCATTATAATCCATAACATGAACAATGGGATAATAACATTTCAAAAATTATAAAACAGTATCATACAAAGTAGATAGTACATGCAATAAAGGTAAAGGTTCCCTTGCTCGAAAGCCAGTCGAATCCGACTCTACGGTTGCGGTGCTCATCTCCATTTCAAAGCCGAAGAGTCAGCGCTGTCCGAAAACGTTTCCGTGGTCATGTGGCCAGCATGACTAAACACCAAGGTGCATGGAACGCTGTTACCTTCCCACCGGAGTGGTACCTATTTATCTACTTGCAAATTCTTGCTTTCGAACTGCTAGGTTGGCAGGAGCTGGAACTAGAGACCGGAGCTCACCCTGTCTTGCGGCACCCGGGTCTCGAACTGCTGAACTACTGGCCTTCCACAGCCTGCAGTTCAGCGTCTTAAGCACTTGAGCCACCGCAGCTCCTCACATGCAATAAAGAGCACAACAAACTACAACCATGATAAAAATACAGTTTTTTGTTTTGTTTTTAAAGCAGCTATGCCTGCTGCTATATAAACTGCATATTCAACAACAGCTTGCTTTGCCTTCTGTTTATAGATTT